TTTCTTTTGGGGTGGGGATGGTGGGTGCGGGGGTGGGAGCGGGCAAGGGAATCCCTCTCCCTCCACGTCACCCGAAAGCGAGGAAACCCGCACTCGCGTCCTCTAACGCAAATGACCATCTTTGGCAACGTGCGCCAATGGAACAGACCAAGGGCGCTGCGCCCCGGGGGGTGGAGGAGCTCGGCAAGAACTCAAGCGGCCTCGGCGCCCCCAAAGTGCCAGGGCCGCACGCTCCCACCCTCACCACCACCCGCCTTTCTTGCGCGGGGTGTGCGGCTGGCGTCAGCGTGACCGCGAGCAGGGCTGGGAGGGGAGCGCCGTGCCCGCCTCCTCCCCTCCCGCGCCTCTTCCTCCTCCTCCTCCTGGTCCCGGGCCTCCTCCCCCGCCGCCTCGAGAGCTCCTCCCAGCAAGGTGGAGTCTAGCGTTGACGTGAGTCGATCCACATGGTGCGGGGCTGGAGAATAAAGAGTGTGGAGTTGAACTCGTGCCATTGTAGTGACTCATCTCGGGCAGAACGCAGGGGCTTGAAGCGAGACAGCGAGCTGCGCTCGGCAGGGACTGAGAGAGAGAGAGAGAGAGAGAGAGAGAGAGAGCGAGAAAGGGGGAGAAAGAGAGAGAGGGAGGGCGAAGCGAGGCAAGACGCTCGAGGCCAGCTCGTCCTGGAGCGGACACCGGGTGCAGGTCACTGCGACGCGGAGCCACGTCCCTCTTAGCACTGCTCAGCCTGGAACCCCACGGGCACTGTCCCGCCGGCGCGATCCGGGCAGCTGGACAGGCGCTCACTGCCTTGTCCTAAGTCAAGTGTCCGAGTCGCCGGGAAACTCAGGCGGCGAGTTGGCCACAGGAAGTTTATTCTCGGGCTCCTTTTCTAAAAGGAGGAAACAGAAGTTTCTCCCAACCGGCAGCTTTTCTTTTTCGCCTTTTTGGCGCCCTGTGAGATTGGGGAGGGAGTCCCCCAGAGCTGCCAAGCAACACCCGCTGGGCTCCTAGTCTTTTTTGCGTTGCCCATTTTTGATCCAGCCCGTGGGTCCCGGCGGAGCTCCGGCTGCGCGCGGGGGCGGAAGGGCGCGCGCAGGGGAGGGACCGAGGGACGCGCCGACTTTTTAGAGGGAGGGACCCGGTGGACAGCCGGTTCCGCGGAGCTTGCAGAGCAGAAACGAAGTGCGGTGCGCGGCGATCGGGGGATCACTTCCCGAGTGTCGCCGCCTCCCTGTCTGCCTCGGTTGGGGGACAGCCCCGGAGCCAAGAGCCCAGCCCGCGGCGGGGCCGGTGGACCAGCGAGCGCGCAGCAGACTGCGCGGCCGCGGCGAGGGCGGGGAAGAAAACCACCCTGTTTCCTCTCCGGCCCCCACCGCGGATCATGTACCAGGATTATCCCGGGAACTTTGACACCTCGTCCCGGGGCAGCAGCGGCTCTCCTGCGCACGCCGAGTCCTACTCCAGCGGTGGCGGCGGCCAGCAGGTACGTGCGGGCCCGGGTGCACCTGGCGGCACCGGCTGACTCCTTGCCCTCTCCTCGCTCTCACTGCCTCCATCCCCAACCTCCGTCTTTACCCTTCCTTGGCTGGGCTAGAAAAATACTTAGGGGCCACCGTTGATAAGTTGTGGGGTTTTGTTCTGTTCCGCCCCACCCACCCCACCACTTTTTTTTTTTTTTTAAACAAGCGGAGAGTGGGCTTAAAGAGCCAATAACAACCCCCCTCTCCGGCTTCTCTCACTTTATTCCAGAAAAGCTTCTGGAATTGTTGGTCCCCTCTTGGAAGCCTGTTGCCTCCTTCCGAACGCTCTCCCCTCCTTTTCCACCTTCCCCTTTCTCGGTGGTGGATAGACAAGGAAATCTTTGCGCCTCCTAAGTCCCCTCCCAATCGTCAAAGACCATACAACGAAGGCCTTTTAGCCTTTCCTTTTTCTGTTTTCCTTCGGTCTTAGCAGCTTTCTGAAATGGGTTGGGGACTCAGAAATACGGTTGGGCTCCTTCAAGTGATCCGGAGGGAGGGCTAGGGTTGCCTCTGGGAATCAGGTGCGAAGGTCAGGAAGGAAGAAGCTGGCTTTGATTGGCTCTTGACACCTCTTGTGCTCACCCCCCTCCCAGCTTCCGGTGAGGGTTGGGCAGGAACCTGTACTGTCCCGGAGAGCAGAACCTTGGGGGGCTTGGGGATACCTGGGGCAAAGAAGCTGGCAGAAAGAAGAGGGAGAACGAGACATCACTTGGGCTCCTGAGTAGTGGTTTTAGAAGTAGAAAAACAACTTGTTTCTAAAGCAGGCAGACTGGTTTCCATTGGAGGGATTCTGCCCGCACTCCGTGTGTCTGTAGGATACCAAACGGGTACTGGTGAAGTGGTGGTGCTGGTGGGGTACCTGACTTGTGTAGCACACACACTGTCTCATGAGGGAACTGCATGAGCTTACATGGTCCTCTGCCGCCCGAAGCCCTCTGGAGTTCCTAGCCAAGTTGGCTGCAGCAGCGTGAGTTACTCCATAAGGCCATGGCTATGGCCTTGGCTTTGGCCTCCAGCAGTCAACCCGATGGGGGGGGGGCGCTTCCAGGGAAAGATGGACTGAGCTGGGAAATATAGTAAAAACATGTCTTTCTTTGTAATCCGAAAAAGAGGAGCACCTCTCTCAAAGTAATGCCCCATGTCGAGTGAGTCCCTCCAAATGGCTTTTCTGTGTCTTCTCTCTAATCCCTACATACCTGCTAAGCACCTACTGTAGAGAGCCTGGTCTTCACAGAGGGTGCAGTCAATGGACCCTTACTACTGAAGTGATGAGTTTTAAGGCTTATCTAAAAAGTCATTGGTTATGTTTGCATCCCAGCCCAGTGGGTGATTTGTGTTGAACCAAAACATCATTCACTTTATACCTGTCCCCGGACTTTCTAGTTCAATAACCCCACCCCACCCCACCCCACCTCCCTCTCTTTCCCCAGCCAACATTGGAGCTTTGTATTTCTGTTTCTTTCACTAATGAGATGGAGCCATTGACCAGTGACACAGTGCAATCTCCCTGCCTGGTGCTTGGCTCAAACTCTGGGGCCTGGATGGGAAGTCAGACCGGACATCAGTGCCCCAACTGAATAATCTGTGTCACTAGGGCTTTGAGCCCAGGATATGAGCAGAGGCAATTCCTTGTTTTGGAAGCAAATCAGACAGGAAACCAATGCTAGGACGAAGGAAGACAGAGCTCCGTCCAGCAGTGTGTAATGGGGCCTCATTACCGAAGCAAAAAGCAGCTGTTAGCTAATTCCTAGCATGCTGTAACACATGAGGATTTTGCAATTAGCAACAACCAATACATGGGATCCTCAGGTCTGTCTGCCCATTCTGCTCAGTAGCGAGAGCAAGAAGTCTCTCAACCCAGAGGGATTGGCAAGGTAACACCTCTTTGGCCAAGTTTCACCATGGCCTCTTCACTCGTTGCTGGTGTGGTGGGTAGGAGGTGATAAGTGTGTGTTTGTGTGGTAGTGGGGATTGTTCCCTTCCTTGCTCTGCCTTTCTCCAAAAACCAAAAAAGATTCTGTGGTCCCAATGATAGGTCTTAGCTTTTGTTCCTTTCCGAGTCTGTGCTACAACCCCACCCTGATCTGGGCTCAAGGTAACTTTATTATATACCAGATAAAGTCTGTAATCAACTATTCTCTCAACCTCCTTCATGGGGAAATTTTTCCAGCAGTTAGTGACTGGGCCTTCCTCCTTTATGACATTATGATGGACCAATCATTGTGAGATGTTCCTGATTTTCCCTTGAGTAAGTGGATATGATTTTTTTCCTGATCTCCTTGTTTGTGGGATCCTGTATCCCCATAAATTTGCTGTTTATCCAGCCCCAAACTCCACCCCCACACACACACATAAAGCCTGGTCTTAGCACTGAGCTCCACTGACTTGTGGGGTGGGGGGCACACAGATCTTTGTTAAAAATCTCTGCCTGTGTATATGGCAGGAACTTGAAACAAGAAAAATATTTCCTGTTGCAGCTATAATCTCAATCTCAAAGGTTAATCACTGGCAATTTAATTTTCTTGGGGATAGCTGTTTATACCTCCCCCTCCTGGAGTTGACTTTGTTGTTATTTTCTTTCTCCTGGCTTTCCTAGCTTAACACCTCCAGATATATGCTGTGCCTTGCTCCTTGGCTGTTACGGTTTCAAGGCCCTGGCATTACGCAATCCAGCCAGTTACACAAACAGAGGTCATTTCATAACTTGTTTTCATCAGCCAGGCCCCCTTTAAATGAAAAAAACAAAACAAAAACAAGACACAGAACTTTTCCAAGGCTGCTTATCTGTTTCTAGATGACTTGTGAGAGTTAAGTCAAGGCTATTTCCTCTTGGAATCAAGGAACATCAGAGAAGCCCCCCCCCCCCCCCCCCCCCCCCCCGCCACATTCTCCCAACAGGGGCACACACACATACAAAATTCCCCAGAGTAAACTTTTGCCAACTGTTCCAGGCTCCATTCCCTTAACACACACACACACACACACACACACACACACACACACACACACACACAATTCCCCAGAGTGGTGAACTTTTGCCAACTGTACCAGGCTGAGACATTCCTTACACACACACACACACACCAACACACACACACCAACACA